GATCATTCAAGAGCATCAGGCTTCAAATGAAACCCTTATAGACAGTCATTAATAATGTCATTTGTAAGCAATACCATTTTTATGTTAAGATAAAACAACACTTGTCTCAACAAGAGGATATGAAATGATATTTTACTTTATAATGTTTGCTCATTTGCCTCCATTGAATTTGTTGCAGGACCGCTGACCCCCTAAACTCTCAAAAATAAACGTTCTTTATTGCCATCTTTGGAGAACCTTTAGCATCCATGGAATCTTTCTATTTCAAAAAGGTTCTTTACAGTAGAGAAGGTTTCTTTAGATTATCAAAATGCTCAGTCATCTGTAAAATATTTCTGTTTTCTCTCAGACTGGACACCCTGTGTTTACTGCTTAGCAGATTCCAAATTCCAGCATCAAACACTGACGAGTAATATTGGTAACTCTAGTTCCGTCACGAATCCGGTCCTTGGGCTTCAGGCCGATTGCCACTAGAGGTTATTCTCCCATTACATTGACTCTCACACCACACAGACTGTTACACATCACCCTGGACTGCATTTCCCATCAACCATTGCACTGATTACACGCACACAGCTGAATGCACTGATCACAAACACAGCTGAATCCAATCAGACATGCTACTTAAGCCATGGTCTTCCTCTCTCTCACGGCCGAGTATTGTTCTGCATTTTTTACTCCCCAAGTGTTAGCTGCCTTACTGAGCCATTCCGTTTTTTCTGTTTTCGTCTCGTGTACTGTTTTGCGTGTATCCCTGTTTAGCGGATAGCTACCTTACCGAGCCTGTTTAAGTTTTCATAGCTTTCTTAGTCTAGTCTTGCCTTGTCTGTTTTCCTGGTCTCTGATTCACACCACGTCTCTTGGATTAACCCTTTGCTTGCTGATTCTGACTCTGCTTTCCCCTGCTTGGACCTTTGCCTTCTACCTGGATTTATCTCTTGTCTTGCCTTCGATATACCCGTTTGCCATTGTCTGACCCATGCCTGTTAAAACCACGTCTCTTAATAAAAGCTTGCACATGGATCCTCACGCCTCACGTCTCGTCGGTCCCGTTACAAGTTCTGACTTATATGGCAAAAAAATATATTTTCAAATGAATTTTTAAATATATTTCAAAACAAGAAAATACATTCACATTTGAAGAAAAATCAGCAAGGAACATAATTAAAATTAATGTAAAAATAAATACATATTACAATGTATAACTAAATTAAATATTAAATCATTATAAATATAGTCTCTAGTTGGCTATTCCATCTATTGATCTCTATAGGCTCACATTGGCTATTCCATCCACAATTGTATTTACCCTAAATGTATAGCTATTGTAAGATTGGAAATGTATTTTCTTGCCCCTAAAGTACATTTTGAAATATATTTTAGTATGTGAAGTTTGAAAAAAATATTTAATTGAGCTTAACTGTTTATACCATATATTTAGCATGTATTTAAAATATATTTTGGCCATCTTTTTTTCTTCACAACTTGTTTTATGTATTCGTCATGTGGGATAGTTTCAATGGCATTAAATGGGCAGATAATTACAATAGAGAGTGCCAAGAAGGATATCTGAGTAAAAATGAAAAGCTAATTGAGGCTATATTTTGGAGTTTCTCAAATTACCACACTGGCAGAGCTCCTGGAGAATGAATGTCTAGGCAGTTTTCTTAGGAATTTACAAAGTCTATAGCTTAAGTGCTTAATGGATCCCATAAGTTCCTGCCAGAACTCAACAAACATTAATAGCTCCAGTAACCCTATAATAATGGAAAAGGTTTTGAGGCACCTCAGTTCCTTTACATAATAAGAATCTGAGGAACATTTAGTTTTTACAGCATAAAAATGTCTATTTCCAGTAATACCAGATTGGTCCCATTTAACAAAAAAGCTTTTTTAGTGATATGAAAACCTGGACTCAAAAGGGACCATGCACAGTAGTATAAATATTGAATGTGAGAAGTGATTTTAATGGAGTGAACAGTGAATAACTGGTAGAACCTTTCCAACCATCATAAGACTTTATCATACACAAACATCATTAACGATTACCCTTTTTACATTCCTTTTATTTGCTTTAAAAATAAAAAAAAGTGTGGATATGAAGCATGCAAATAAACATACTTTCTC